ACACCGCAGTCGGTTATTACGATCGCAACAGTGTCGCCAGAGTTGCCGCTTGGCACTCGCCAACCATCATTTGGGTGATTCTTTGAACATGTGCATATTACGCGGCCCTCCCCAAATAACTACTTAGTGAGATATAAAGTTATATTCTTTTTTATTTCACGTAAAACATGGTTCCAGTAGTATATAAAGATGTACATAACATTTTCCTATTGTAATAAACAACTAAGTTATATTCATAAACGTTCCTCAAATCTCATCACCATTCGTGTCCCGATTTCCAAATTTTAGCAGTTCATGCTCGAAAAGTTGTAAATAAACCCCGAAGATCGTATATTTTTGTAGTAATTTAGATAGTACACTACATGCTTTACTAATTAGTAAAACTACACACATTAAAGACCACTTTTAAGTAATTTGTAACGACTTTGAAAATTGTCCCAACACTTTATACTCACTACCATTTGTCCACACAGTCGCAGGGTTATTTTTTTTCCGCGTATGTATTGGTCTCTAAAAGGGTAACTCAGCTGTCGCGCTCAGTTTTGCCCCACGATTCGTGCGGATCATACGACGAAGAGTCATTTGGCTCCAATTATAGCCTACCTTAATCGCCCAGAAATCGTGTTTGGCAAATAAAAATCTCCTTACCGTTCGAGATTCCCGTGGTAAGCCTATTATTCTTATTTATCATTTCTATGCACAGTAATAGTCGCCACAGGATACTCTTTGCTTTGATTAAGTTCCAGAGTTAATAAGTTCTATAAAGAACGTATAGTGTGAGAAAGTGTACAAATATCTAATTACCGTTTGTAGAATTACCATTTTTCCCGTTCGTATTTTGGCGGAACGGTAATGAGAAATCGAAAATGGTAATTAGTACCAGTATAAGCTGGCCTCTTATTATATTGAAACTCCTAACTCCGCTAGGCCAGCCCTAGGTCGCATTGTGTTACAACCAAAGCGTGATCAATTATTGCTCGTTTAATGTGATCTGACACCACTTCCGCAATAAAATAAACCTACAGACTGACTACCAACTACCCCCCCCCCCCCCCTCCCCCTATTACTAACTTATTTTTTTTTTAGAGTAAGTCGAAGGAGGAAACTTTGGTTAAATCCAAAATCACACGCCAGAATCGATACGCTAAAATCAAAGCTGACCCTATTTTATACGCCATTTAAGAATAAAAAGAACGACAACGATACAAAAAAAACTTTTGTTAGTTGAAAAAATTACACAGGTGAAATAGGAGGAGTTGCTAAATGCACTGTCGCTGCAGCGTAAGGTAGAGATGTTGCTAAATTAGATGGTTTTTGAAAATCGTAAGACAAAACACAAAAAAAATTAAGCTGACAACTGTGAAAGAATACCATACAATAGAAAAAGATGTATTGCTATCTTCAGAATAGCTGAAACCATTGAAAGGTACATTGAAAGTTCATCAAATACTGTGGCAGAAAGAAAAGGACCACCTGATATTCAGAGAAAATAGTTACTTATATGCTTAGACGTGGACTATGAACATACTAAATTTGTCGGTAAATAATGTTATGAAAACACAAAAGAATCTACACTTATCAGAAATAAAGAGAATGAAAATCATAGTATGACTGATGCGACCACAAACGTAAAACCTAAAACTACACAGAATAAAAGGAAATCTTAAGTAATGTTTTACTAAAGTCAAAACGCAAAGGAGACGAAGCCACCCTAAAAATGCTGTCTGATTTAAAACCTGATGATGAATTACACTTGGACCCTAATATACACATTGAGAATGTGGTAAATATTTCTGGCAGTGGCAGTGATATGAATTTTTTGGATGTATTTCAAGACTATGTTCAATATACATTACAATTAAGCGCAAATTAAATAATTGATGGCCAGCTTAATGTTCTCGGATCATTGCTGTGTGATGATCTAGCAGATCCACAAGATACTGCATTTGAGACTACCTGCGAAGTTCTTGGTTGTGAAAGTGATACGGATTCGAATTCAATTTTAAATATTTTATAGTTATTGTAACTGATCTCATCGCATTTAAGAAATATTTTATATGAAACCGGTATAGTGCTGAGTTCTATTGAGAGTTTTGAAGTAGTGTTTTAGTTGATTTTATTAAGATTACTAGAAAGATAATTACTGTTTATTTTGTTTTTATTTTCCTTAATTTTTAAAATTAAGTCTAGGTTGATGTTTACCAAAGTTTGATAGAAACATCAAATGTTTTGTATTTTCCTGTTTATCATTGCCGTGATTATCTTGCAGATCTACTTAAGACTTTATGATTAAGTACATGCTCGGTTTCTGGTTATGAAATAGAAACTATTTCGGATTTAAGTATAAATCTGTTTTTAAGTTTTTGTATAGGTAAGATTTCATCGAATTTAAAAAATATCTTAGATGGAGCTTGTATAACTCTGAGTTCTATTTACACTGAGTTCTAAACTAATGTTTTAGTTGGTTTTATTTAATTTACTAGACAAATTAATATTTACTGACCTAATTAAATAATTAGGAAAACCGGTGGATTTTCGACAATTTTTTTTCAAATTAAGTGATGTAATAAATAAATGTGTGATTTCAGTACATCATTCATTTTATTTATAATTACCAATCACGTAGCATAATTACCATTTTTAAAATACTAATTACCGTTTGTTTCATATCTCATCACCGTTTGGTGAAAATTTTCAGCTTCAGATTCAGGCCTATACAGCAGTTCAAATACTGTGCGTTTGATTTATTTCGTTAATCTGCACTATAAACTTTAGGTGAAATCCATAAAAAAGATAATTGGAAACATTATTTGAACTTAACTAACGAACCCTGAATATGTCTATCTTCAAATATTCACCCATTTTGATTATATCATCTAATAATATGTGTTCATAAAAGCCCATTATAACTTAAAATAATCGGAGCATACAACCACCTAAATTGTTGTTCTGTATGTCAACAGCAATATAATAGACATTATATAATTTTAAAATTTATATGATTTATATAATTTTTCTGTCATAACTTCATCAATTACTTTTTCTTATATTTGATTGAGTAAATTATGACACACAATATTTCTTAATTAATATCCATTAATTAATTCATACTATTTACGCGTCTTAAAAAATCAAAAGTGGTAAATTTTTATCATTTGTTTTCAACATTACTAATAGTGCTTGATTATTAAAAAATAAGAAAAAATAATATTAAGGATTAATTATCCAATTTTATAATTAACGTATTATGGTATTATCTCTACCATGCCAACGAATATAAATATATTATTAATTCAACATACATACAATTTAGTTTTAAAATATCCGTAATAAATATGATACATTTTCACTGATATTTCCTTAAACCAGTTATTTTTTTTTTATTTTGATCATATTTTTTCAAACATAATATTTTGTACACAAAACCTGGCAATGATAATTTTAACCTAAATTAAGGGAGAGCTCCTCAACGTTTGCTACACTGTCATTGAACGAATGTCAGAGCGGGATGCAAAACCGATTGAGACAATGAGCACTCAAATTTCAAAATCAAAATTGGATCATAATTTTTAATATTCATAAAATATCCATGAACCTCCACCTCTTGTAAGATAGTATTTTTTTGAATGGACCTACAGGAAGGAACTAGATACCTACTAAGTACTGTTGAGATAAGTCAAAATGAAGCTGAGACTTCGACTTTGGTCAAAAACTGCTTGATTTGACACTGCTACACACATAAGTCCTTCGTCTGAATTCACCCAAAAGAAAGCTAGAGTGATTTGAGAAAACCCGCGACATATACATTCTAGACCCATTCGCCTCTGAACAAAAAACTGTAAAACTTGTGCATTGCAACCGCATGGTTACCGCATGAAACTTGGTCCTTTTTACTAAACCCCCTTTAACTAAATAAACAAAGATTTAGAGGTAATAAACGGCGTACCTAATTCCAGCCGTTGCTATAAGTAGTGGCCTGTTTCTTTAGCCTACCAAATATTATGATAAAACATATTAGTGTCATCGCCATTATCATCATCACAGCCTAATAAAAGTCCACTGCTGAACGCAGGTTTCAACCATAGATTGCCTCAAAGTGGTTTATTTGCCATAGTTGCCACGCTTGGCAAACGGGTAGGCAACCGCAGTATTTTATTATTTTGAGTTCAAATATACTATAAACACTGTATCTGAATAATGGCACTTTTGTTTCGAAAGATATTTTCGAACAAGTCTCTTAAAGTCTTATTTCGTGTCTTCGTGCTAGAAGTTACAGAGAAGTTAAAAAAATTACCCGTGAAGCCACTAAAGTGCAATGGAACTGTTATCTTCACATTAGTTGAAGTACGAAGTACCTTCATGGTTGGAGGAAAGCTATTCTGAAGGTAATAAGTAATAGAAGATGAGAGGAGAGGAGAAGCCTAACCGCTTAAAAATCTATTTAAGAACCGACAAGTTTCTGGATGTGATGCCTTTGTTTTATTATGAGCACCTAAGGCAAATACAAAATTGCGAGTTTTATTGATGTTTTCGAAGACCGAAAATAAAACTGATGCAATATACATATAGGTACAATAGAATATTAAAACTTAACTTGGGCTTAGGCCAAAAACTGTATTTGCTTCGCTAAAACTACTAAAATAAGATTTACTCTCGATAGTTCCTGGAAATAAATTTCGTAAATAAGTTACAATAATTGAATACAACACCGACGGAATAAAGAGTCACATATTAAGGTTAAGGTTGTTTAAGTAATTTGATACTGGATTTCAGTCCAAAACTAGGTACTTTATAGTGATCATATTCTTTTTTCTATACAATATTTTTTAAAAAAATGGCATTTGAAGGGTGGTTTTGGACATTACGTCAATTATAATAACAACAATCAACAAGAAATTATTCAAGTGACGAAATGTATTTTATTTTGTAATTACGCAATTTTTATTAAAAAAATTATGAGTTTATAAAATCTACATATATCTCAAAACAGTATTCATACCATGGCGTTAGACTTGGTGAGCATAGCACAACCGCATTACATACCAGGGTAAGTTTCTCTACGAATCTTGCATTACATTTTCTTGTTATATTTTTTGGTAGTATACCTAGTGATATATTTGTTTTATTTCAACATAATATGTGGGCAATTAAAAAAGCCTTTGATTTAGACGAAGGCAAGTAGCATGTGATATAGCCGTTTCTGCGCTGCCAGATTTACATAGTAGGAATCGGTCGAGCCTTTGTTTCGATAAGACCTCAGTACGTTTATTTGTAAATATATTATCTATACAAATAAATAAAATTTGGAGTGTCTGTTTGTAACATCAAAATAACTTTTCACTAAATGCATATGAAAGTATATATGATACTTATAACAAAAAGACAACTTTTAAAATTTTTGTCTGTCTGTCTGTCCGTCTGTCTGTCTGTTTGTTTGTTCCGTCTAATCTCCGAAACGGCTGAACCGATTTTAATGAGACTTTCACTGACGGACAGCTGATGTTATAAGGAGTAACTTAGGCTAATTATGTTTTAGAAAATGAATTAGGGTTCCGCGCAAAAAATTAGAAACCTAAATTACGCGCGGGCGAAGTCACGGGGAACAGCTAGTTTAATAATATAATTGTACCTATGTTAAAGTAAGTTATTAATGTTATCACAAACTGTTAATGGAAAACAGCATTATCAGTGCGAATCTTCATGTAAATCTTGCATCACTGTCTCATTCGTCTAGTGGTCGTAAACGCGGCTGCTAATCTTTGGTCTTTAGGTTAGAGTCCCGGGTCAGGCCAAAAATCACTTATTGGGTTTTCCTGCCAAGAAATCTCAGTAGTAGTCCGGAGTCAAGAAGTTGGCGGTGTTTCACCCCCGTGCCTTGGAAGGCACGTAAAGCCGTTGGTCCTGCGCCTGATCTCTCTCCGGTTGTGTCGGATTACCATACCATTAGATTATGAGAGTGAGGGAATAGAGACTGCACCTGTGCTTGCGCATACACTTGGGCACTATAATGATATCCTGTGCACTATAATGGGCACTATAATGATATAACGTGTCTTTGTTCAGACTAGTTACCGTGACCGAAATTCGATCTGGAGGATATTATCACTTTTCGATTGCAAATACATGCAGTATGTACACTTGATAAATGACCCTCCGGAGTCTTTATGTAAAACGATTGTTGCATAAAAATAAAAGAGAAATGATTCACGTAATACCATTTTAAAGCTAATTTTTCACACTGTCAAAAGTACGCGTGACCTAGTTGCAGTAATATTTACTGATGGCTTTGTGTTCATTTAAATTTTAAGGGACATTGGGAAACAGACGTGCGACGTTGATAAATTCGGGGTTGCATACTGTGTACTTTGCTTCGTCTTTTGTAATGCGTACAGCAAAGGAGTGGAATAATTTGCCGGCGTCTATCTTTCCGTGCGAATACAATCTGGGCGTCTTCAAGGCAAGAGTGAATAGACTTTTGTTACGCTAATTCAGTGCCGTTTACCGTCTAAGGCTGAATCACCACTTACCATCAGGTGGGTTTGTGGCCAAGCACTGGCTTATAATAAGAAAAAAAAAGGTGCCAGTGCTGGCGCCGAGAACTGACTCGCACTGTTTACGATTACATAATACATATAGTCAGTAGTCGTAGTAACTTCTTCAGGTTGTACGCACGTTGTTGAAGTCAGTGGACAAAATTAATTCACGGAAACGGCAGAATTTACAACGATTGAAATTATTGAGAAAATGTTCCTATCTGCTGTGGAAAGAGTTGACGAAAATGTTAGAAGAGATATTTATAAAGAAACGACGTTGGATAAGAGAATGGATGAATGAATGGGGGTTCTGTTTTGTTGTTGTCATGACGTCACCCTACTTAGTAAACTATTAACTAATCTGTGACCCTACAATGTAGTGCCAGCGACTGATCAAGTAACCGAGTTGGAGTTGGTCGTTTAGACAAGGTCAATACCGCTGCCGCGAGTGGCGGGGGGAGTGGACGGACTTCAAAATATTCAAGCAGGAATATTGAAGCACATGAGTAGATAAAAAGACAGTACTGGTGCGACAGTAGTGTAGTGACTCCAAATCAATTTCCACTATGTCAGTATCGGGTCAGAACTGACTTACCTGGAATTTGTAGCCAGTGGGTCAGTACCCTGTGAAAATCAGCTAATAGTTTAAAGAAAAATTTGCTGAATTTTTAATATCGTAAATTCGAATTCGAAATTAAAGCAGAATTGTAGTTAAAACATGCATTTTTATATTCATTAATAATATTGTTATTTTGGTAATGTCTTTGCGGTACCTATTTGCCCATTTCGGATCGTAGAAGGTTTTCGTTACATCATATTGTATACATTTAAAAAAAAACCTGAAGCGCCAACGAACTAAAAGTCCGCCAGATGGTAAGTGACTGCAGCCCGTCACACCTGCAGCTATCTTCAAACTGGACTAAGATGGAATGCCCCACAGCCTACACAAATAGGCAAGAGTGTAGAATAACTCCTAGGTCTTAGACAGCAAGGTAGTTTTACCATTTAGAATATTTAGTAAAACATCAGCTACAAAACATAACAAAGCCAAATAGTATTTTTTCAACGCGATAATAATGCATTTTCGCCATGTCTCTATAAAACACCATCCCAACTGAACGCATTATTTGAGCTTCTAGTTATGCTGTGACTTGGCACCTTAACGGGTTGACTGCCTCGATGGTATAGAACGCTAAACGCGTCTGCTGTTCATAGGTCCTGGGTTTGAATTCCGGGTTGGGCCAAAATAAGTTAATGCGTTTTATACGAGAAATTCGCAGTCCGAAGTCAGGAAGTTGGCGTTGTATAACTTACGTGCCTCGAAACGTGCAGGTCCAAAGGCTTTAGCTCTTTCCGTCGTAGCGGATAATCGTCCCATAGGAGTATGAGATAGGGAATTGACAGTGCACTTGTGCTTGCATATACATTCGGGCACTATAATCCTTTTCTGCGCAGATGGCTAGTCTGCGTTGCGACTGCAGCCGTGACAGAAACTGGGTTTGGAGGACATTATTATGAAAGCTGCATGCTTTGAAATAAGCACTTGATATATCCAAGATCTTGCATCACAGGTCATAATATATTGTGCATCAATTTTATGGCCGTGAGGTAATGGGTCACCGTTAGTGGCGGTGTAAGAATATCCACTACCCCAATCAATATTATACATGGTAGAGCCATGCTGCAGCTATATTAGTGGTATAGTTGTAACACGAATGGGTCGGCTCGACCGGGGAAGGACCACGCTCTCACAGAATACCAGCGTAAAATAGCAGCTTAACACTGCTGTTTCATATGGTGAGTGTAGATAACCAGAGACCCTTTTTACTGGAAAAGAGGCATTCCATCTTAGTCCTCATGGGTGACAACGCATCTGCATTTTGATTCGCAAACGAGGATAAATGTAGATATCTATGGGCCACAGCAACCACTTACCATCAGGTGGACTGTGTGCTCGTTTGTCACCCTATCCTATAAAAAAAATCCCGTGGGTGTCGTAAGAGGCGACAGAGGGAAACTAATCAGGAGATCGGTAGCAGCGTCTTGCTACTAACGACTAAGAATCAGCAGGCAGCAGCGCCAAAGATGCGAGACCTATGGTACTGTGATCTTCAATCAACCTGCCAAGCGGGACAATGAAAGCAAGTCCATGCAACGGGAGATGCCCATGTTCGAAAGTGGATTTTTACGGGCTGATGATGAAGATGTTTTTTTTATTAATGGCAAGATAACATTGCGTTATAAATTTATTTCCTTAAATTTCTTTATATTTTCATACTGTGTGATTTCTGGATCTTTATAACAGCGCCATCTACCGGGTTCAATTACGAATCTAAACCATCCAGGGACCCACTCAAATGCACACAAAGAATGTATCAAAATATTTTTAGCCGTTTTCGAGTTTCAGCGAGACTAACGGCAACAATTGATTTTTATATACGAGTACAGAGATTAAAGAAATTAATTGAAAAAAAAAATTCATTAAATTTACTGTATGATTTATTGTCGTTTAACAACGTTTAATCAGTAAATTATGATTTTAACAGTTACACAGGCCACTGTCCGGAGTACAAGTACCGGATAGGAGACACCTATGGGTCCACTACGCACAAAATACTTTTGGACCCTAGTGTTCAACATTCGGAGAGACTTGTCCTATCCGACAGGACAGCCGACGATTTTCAGGTTAGTATTTTATGAGAGTAAGAGGTCCCTTCTTTCTAATTAAAATTCCTGACGTTATTTTTTAAAATATGGCTGAAAGTGTCAACTTTCTGCATTTTAACCGATTTAAAAAAAGAGGAGGTTCTCAATTCGACTGATTTAAAAAAAAATGTGTTACCTGAGAACTTTTTTCTAGTGAACCGATTTTGATGATTCCCTTATAAATTTGATCAAGATCTGATCAGAAATTTTTGAGTTATCCTTAGTAATGTGTATTTAATTGACTTCGACTACATTGATGATGTTCTCCTTTTATTTATATGAAGTGGGTTGTACAACATTTTTAATTTTACCACTTTTAAACCATAGATTTTTAAATATCAACGTCATCAACAGCTTTTTAATATACTACTCGATGTTGACCTTTTCGATATTGCGAGAACTGGCTTGTATTTCTTGTTAGGTTTCCAAATACTCATCATGTAATGACAACGGTTTGTTGCGCGAGGTAGTGATACTCTAGTACTGATGTTAGTCTCTATCATCAGCAAATGGAAATGACGTCAAGATTTCATCAGTAGTTGTTGAGTTATCCTTAATAATGCATATTTGATTAATTTCGACTAAATTGATGATGTTTGCATTTAATTTATATTGAAGTCGGTTGTACAAAATTAAGCAACTAAGACTTTTCCGTTCTTTCCTTTGGATTTAAACTTAAAACCTTGTACTTTAGACTGATATTTTATTATAATAATTTATTTTTTCTGTTTTACGCAAAGATTGACTGGAAGAAATCGCCTACAAAGCTATGAGAATGTCTATTATACAGTCTTTATATTGCTTATTTTTGTATTGGTTTAAATAATAATATATTGATCGATTGAGTGATAAAATTCATCAAGTAGAAAAGAATAGAATAATTTTTATTCAATATACATAATTACAAGTAATTCTTATTGAAAGTCATTTATTTTAAAGTTTACCACTGGTTCGGAAAAAACCTCTGTCCTGGAAAGAAACAGCAAGAAACCCAGCGGGACTTTATTTTTTAAAGTAAATATTATACAATAAAACACAGGTTTTACAAACTAGTTTAGTTTTTAGTAAATTATTAATAATTCATTCATTGCGCATCTCTTAACAGGTTCACTGCTAAAAATAGGCCTCCCCCATAGATTGCCTCATAGAGTGGATATTTGGCATAGTTTCCACTATTATTTTCTATTATGATTGAGTTGTTATCAGGTTTTTTACGTGGTAGAGCCGTACTGCAGCTATATTAGTAGTATAGTTGTAGCACGAATGAGTCGGCTCGACCAGGGAAGGACCACGCTCTCACAGAATACCAGCGTAAAATAGCAGCTTAACACTGCTGTGTTTTGTATGGTGAGTGTAGAGAGCCGGAGACCCTTTTTACTGGAGAAGACGTATTCCATCTTAATCCTCACGGGTGACAACGCTTCTGCATTTTGATTCGCAAACGAGGATAGATTTGGATGTTTATGGGCCACAGCAACCACTTACCACCAGGTGAACTGCGTGCTCGTTTGTCACCCTATTCTATAAAAAAAGGTAGATGCTGCTGCCCATCGCCTGTTCCAGTTTCCATCTGTCACCTCCTACAGCATCCACGGGATGATATGGAGTAGGGTAGTTTTACATGTTATTAACTGGCGTGAGGTAATCCAAACACTTTCATCTTAACAGAGTATTAAATAAAATGTTACGTTCAAATCGTATGCACCTTTCACCACTGCATTGACCTTAAATTTAAAAAATCAAACAACATTGACATAACATCAACAGATCTACCGTCCACCGCAGACGGACATTGACGTGGTAAACGCGAGGTTTCGTAACGGCGATCCGGTTTACAAGCATCCCATGATACCGGGATATGAAGGTAAGTGACGCGTTCAATTATATAATCTTAATTGAATATTTGTTTTAATGAGACTTAAATTGGGGCTAATAACCTTTACGCTCACCAGATGTCGCTAGTTGGAACAAAGGTGAACTTATTCGTTACGCAGATTGTCACACAGCGTGATCATCATTGATTTAATTATAAGTTTATCAGTTTGTACTACCTATGCATACACAGGGTTATTTTGCAATAACCAACCAAATTTGCGGAGAAGGTTCAGAATAAGTAATGCCTATATTAGTATTAATGTGGAAGAAAAATTAATTAAAAAAAAAACCTGGAACATTCTGGCCCTTTTTATCTATTAAATTCAAAATGCGTGGCTGGTAATGCATTATTTTAACGATTTTACTACACACGCACACATTCGTAAGGGTCGATCGGTAGGCAAAAACGTTGTTGCCTATAAATCACATTAAATTTGGGATAATTTCAAATAAAAGTAGAAGCCTTATTTACTTATATTTTCAAAAATTGTAATATTGGTATATCATTATTTATATATTTGAACTTAAGGTTTAACTACTCTTAACAAAACCTACTCTTTGAAAAATAACCCTGTACTTATATACAAAACAATGCTTCAGTGCTATATTCTTTATATTTTACGCATTTTTTACACACACTAGAATGTCCGTAGTTTGGTTTATTCATTTCTAATCTAATTCATATACAACATAACTAAAATTTTAGACAGGAACATTAATCTCTGTACTATGTTTTATTTTGTTTAGTTGTATTACGTCTTAGAGCCATGCTGCAGCTATATTTCTCGTATAGTTGTGGTACGAATGGGTTGGCTCGACCGAGGAAGGACCACGCTCTCACAGAATACCAGCGTAAAATAGTAGCTTAATGCTGCTGTGTTTCGTATGGTGAGTGTAGAGAACCAGAGACCCATTTTACTGGAGAAGAGCCATTCTATCTTATTATCCTCACGGCTTAATTCACAAACGAGGATAAATGTAGATGTCTATGAGCCACAGCAACCGCTTACCATCAGGTGGACTATGTGCTCGTTTGTTACACTTATTTTATAAAAAAAAAAAAACTTTTCTAACTAATAAACTTCCCCCGCTATGAAATCTGTCATATATTTCACCTCATTCCTGAGACAGGAAAAGTCGCGGATGCCTCATTGCCGTGTGGTTTCGGGTTTAGAGAATCCATCAAGTTATTTAATCGCGGGTATCGTAAGAGGCAACTATGACATATGTCAGAAAGACTATGACTTCCGATCGATGACGCTATGACCGTCTCATTTACATCAGGCCTAAAATACCCATCAGTAGTAGGATCAGCATCAAAGAACTTCTGGAATTGCAATCGTCGATCCACCTGTTGTCCAGCAGTGGAGTTTAACGGGCTGATTTGTTTTAATGTCTATTTATTAAATTAAAGAGTCTTCTACCGGACATTGACATCTTTTATCGAAGAGAGTATGTACCATTATCGTTACGCTTGACTGATGGAAAGGCGTTCACAATATTAGGCACAGGTTATTATATTGCATCTTTCATGTTTTCCGTCGATAGTCGTGGTAACCATGATATATCTCTGATATTTTTCATTTCATCTCGTAAGAGACACATGGAATCAGTTGGGGTAATGGATTACGCTTACATCGTCATCACAGAATTTATTAATTTATTAAATAAATATTTAAGATTTTTGATAGGTCTTCGCGTAATAATCTATGAAATTCTCTAAAGAATATTTTGAAATTTCTAAAGTATAGATTTTTGTATAAATTGTGCGTATATTGGAAAATATAACCAGTGTGTCGTTGCATTACTTCCATGAACTCTTGTAGCTGTAATTATTCTGCAAACAAAGCCACAGCTGTAAGGTATTGAATGCCAATATGAATGCTGTACGTGGTAGAGCCAAGCTGTAGCTATATTATGATTATAGCACGTATGTATCGGCTCAACCGGGGTAGGACCACGCTCTCACAGAATACCAAAAAAGCAGCTTAATTCGTATGGTGAGTGTAGAGAACCGGTGAACCTTTTTACTGGGAACGAGGTATTCATCTTAGTCGTCAGGGGTGACAACGTAACAAATTTTGATTCTTAATCGAGTATCAATGTAGACGTCTATGTACCACAGCAACTAACTTACCATCAGGTGGACTGTGTGCTCGTTTGTCATCCTTATTCCATAAATAAATAAATGCCTCATAATATTCCAAAATTAACATAAATGGGTAACTTACTCAGTCGGAATTGTAAAAAAAAAAACAAGCCATGACACCATTAAAATATTAAAATGTTATACACGCAAAAAATTTTGTACAACCGACTTCAATATATATTAGTAGGTAAGGATTATTCAAAAGCTACTGGTCAGACCTTGATCAAATTTATATACACATGAGAAGCACCAGCTTTCAAATCAAAATCGGTTCACCTAGAAAAAAGTTATGAGGTAACACAGATTTAAAAAAATTACAGTCGAATTGAGTTCCTCCTCCTTTATGAAGTTAGTAGTATAATATATACCTTGTACCTACTTTTCAAATAAAATTTTTAATTTCAAAATAAACAAAACGCGCAGTCTGGCTAGTTTTGTTAACGCACTTTAAGAAAGTTATACCTGTATGTGCCTTTATACAGGTAAATCTTTAGACAAAGCAACTTCAACTCCAATGATTCAATGTTCGTATTGTGAGTCACAGTTCTGTTTCTGTACCGGTCAATGTAGGGCCACCATAGGCAGATAGACTTGTGCGGGACAGGTTTGCTTTTGACCTTTAAATGCGATCCCGGATAAAGCTGATTGCTTACCTGCATTTTGTCCAGGAGTAAGGTAAATATACTGTTAGGTTTTTTTTTTATAGAAATAGGGTGACAAACGAGCACACAGTCCACCTGATGGTAAGTGGTTGCTGTGGCCCATAGACAATCTACATCCATCCTTGTTTGCGAATAAAAAGCAGATGCGTTGTCAGCCTTGAGGACTAAGATGGAATGCCTCTTTTGCAGTAAAAAGGGTCTCCGGTTCTCTACACTCACCATACGAAACACAGCAGCATTAAGCTGCTATTTTACGCTGGTATTCTGTGAGAGCGTGGTCCTTCCCCGGTCGAGCCGACCCATTCGTGCTACAACCATAATATAGCTGCAGCATGGCTCTACCACGTTACAATTATAGCATAAAATGAGCTTATTTTTGATGAAATAGAGAACACTAAGATTATCTTTGCACGTTATGGAGGCACGCTGCAACTATAATAACCTCCATACTGAATATCGGCCATGACGGCCAGCCTTAAAAAAGACTAGTCATTTGCGCAGGACAGTATTATTGTGCGGAGTGTATGCGCAAGTACAGATACACTCTCTATTCCCCTACTCCCATAGTACGATAGGACGGCAATCCGACACGACCGGTGAGAAATCAGGGGCAGGACCAACAGCGTTATGTGCATTCCGCGGCACATTCCTGACTACTGGTTGCTACTGAGAATTTCTTGATAGAAAAAAAATCAAATAAATGTTTTTTTGGCCCGACCAGGGATTCAAAACCGAGATCTCATAATCAGCAGTCACGCTTAGGAACACTAGACAAACGAGGTAGACATGCAACTATATTATGACTCAAGCACGAATGGGTTGTGTCGACCGGCGAATGAACAGCCCTCACAGAATACTACTAGTAGCGTAAAATAGTAGCTCAATTCTGTATTTCGTATGATAAATGTACTGAACCAGAGACCCTTTTTACTGGTAACGAGACACTATATCTTAGTCCTCAAGTGTGACAATAGCATATAGACATTTGATTCTTAATCGAGGATAGATGTAGTTATCTATGGTTCACAGCATCTACTCAGAGCTGTGGCTAGAGTCGAATTTGAGGAAGAGCAGCATTGGTTACATGTAGGGCGGAAGTAAATAAATTATGATAATTGATCTGCCCTCGAAGCACGGGCTCCTAAATCTATCACCATGTAGGTATATTGAATATATTGAATATATTCAATGTACATGAATATGTTCAATGTACAATGTACATCACTGACCTTGAGGTCAGTGATGTACATTAAATAGCCATTCGTAGACAAATAATTTCTGTGACAGAACATGAGCATGGATCTAAGAACTAATAAAATTAAAGAATCCTCAATGATGAAAAACTAGCGAAGAAGATGGTTGAACTGCCAGATTTGGATGTAGAGATCCACGTCTGAGTGAGAGTGAAGTAATAGTTAATTATGGGGTGAGGTGATAACGAGTAAATAGATACCACCATCTCTCTCAACAACAACAACGGAGGAGGAGGAAAAGAGAGAGATCTCTCTCAACAACAACAACGGAGGAGGAGGAAAAGAGAGAGATGATTCGCCATGTTATTAAAAATGCGAAGAACTTCGTTCAGATCAACGGTATTTTGTTCTTTTTTTTTCAAAGTCCAGAAATACAATACCAGCCATTCTCTCGTGACCCATTCACAGCCTTTGAGGCCTATTGATTGCAGTTAAGGTTGAAAACGTAGATTCGCACACTGCAGTGCTACATCCTATTGTCGCCACAGATGCAAAAAGTTCATAGGTATCTTTGAATGCCTTTCGTTGTCTGTACATAACTTGCAATGTATTTTCCATTTTATCCTCGTTACGACTCAAAAAAGGTTTAACCATACTGGCCTCTTCTCGGACAAATGTACGAAACGTCTAATACTGCAATCGTCACACCTTTGTTGTTAACTTTTTTTTATAGAAGAGTGGGCAAACGAGCATGCGGCTCACCTGATGGTAAGTGACTACTGCTGCCCATGAACAACCGCAACACGAGGGAATCGCAGATGCGTTGCCGGCCTTTTAAAAGGTGTAACTCTTTTCTTGAAGGTCCCTAAGTCGTATCGGTCCGGAAAAATCGCCGGTGGTAAACAATTCCACAGTGAAGTTGTACGAGGAAGAAACCTCACGCTGGATGCAGTCAAGTGGAAGGAGCTGGCACTGGGTTGCCCTG